TGTGTGTGTGTGTGTGTGTGTGTGTGTGTGTGTGTGTGTGTGTGTGTGTGTGTGTGTATGTGTGTGTGTGTGGTTTGGGGACATAAACTTGGGTCTCCATACTTGTTTAGCAAGCACTGTACTGCCTGATTTTTCTCAAGGCACTGTATAATCTGGGCTCATAGAATGTATGGCAGGAGCTATAAAATTGCACCTCCTACCCAGGTTGTGAGTTCCTCAGGGGTAGTAGTCAGTCTGTCTCCAGTCCCCAGCACCTGACAGAAAGTGTGGCTCTGGTGTGGGCTTCAGAAGGATACCACCTTTCTTTCCATGTCAGGCACAAGTATTAAAGAAATGAGAACCCATCCATTTTGACATGACTGTGCCCTGTCCCCTTGGCAGTCTATGGCAGACCCCTTTGCAAAATAAAATTTTTGACTCATAAAAGAGACACAAGATTCTATAGAAAACTAGTTCTGCTGAATGCAGTTGCCAAAAACAGGTTTTTAAATCACACTGTGATTTCACGAGTTCTCATTAGCATATTACAAAATACAACAGGTGCACTAATGTGCTTTTGAGGCCCGATGAAAGATGTTTGAGAGACCAACAGCAGCTCTGACAAGGTGCAGAAAAGCCTAGTTTCTGCCTGTGGCAGGAGCCGGTGACACTGTGAGGACTTGAGCCCCACATTCAAGGAGGGAGAACAGTTACATATCAAAGAGAGGCTCACAGTGGGAGGAAAGGCGTAGAGTTTGGGTTTTTTTTCTTTTCAGCCAAGTTCACACATGGTAAAACTTCTACCCTTGACAACCATGGGCCTCTCAGATCACAGTCCTCACTTTAGATGTGTGAATAACAGCAATGACAACAGTTGGAGCCACAGTCACAGGGAAATGCAAGCCCATTGGAACCACACAGTCCTCATTTGGTGCTGGGATGTGTACTGGAGGTCCCTTTGGTGATATGTTCAAGAATCTTAAAAATGTTATGTCTGCTTTGGTAACCCAGAAATTCCATCTCTAGGAATCTCTCCTAAGGAAATAAAAAAAAAAAAACCAGCCCCCCCAAAAGAGTGTGAGAATGTTTATAATAGCCAATGAACACATCCAGGTTTTGTGAAGCCTGGTGTTTATATAATTTAGAAGGGCCCCTTTAACACAAAGAATGCAAAATAAGAGTATAAAACTTCTAGATCCCTCGTGGGCCTTTGGAAAGGCCCTGGGCAAATGGAAGGGCTTTGATCAGTTCCACATAAGTTCAGCACAAACATTACACCATCGCTAATCATTTAAAAGCAGAAAGAGCTGCAGCAATCCGACGGTTGGGAATTGACATAATAAGCTGTGGAAGGTTTGTGTTATAGGAGAGAAAATCTGCCAGCCGCCCAACATGATGTGAATATAGAGTCTATTTGTAGAGATGAGACAATGATCAAAACACGGTGTCTTACTTTCCTTGCTGCT